CCGCTGAGCAGGGAGCCCAATGCAGGGCTCGATCCCAGGACCCGAAGATCAAGACCTGAGCTGAAGGCAGACGCTTAACTGACTGAGCCACCCAGGCACCCCTAAAATTAAATTTTAAATAAGGTTATTAATATTATACAAAACAACGAAGTATGAGAACAAATTATCAATTCTAGGGAAAACTAGGTCAGTTTGGAAAGACTTGGTAAAAATGTAGGCAAGATAGCAGTACAGGATTGAGGGAAAAAAACAGTAAAAATTGTGCCTTCTGCCATAGATTCCTTCATACACATCTTATGCTTTCACTGTACAGAAACTAAAGCTAGGAATCAGAAAATGCATTAGGGATATGGCTTAGCAAGAGAGAAAATCAGAAGCACTCATTAGTAAAACCGTGCCAAAGAAGGGCTTTGTGCCTCCATTTGAACTTTGGCAAATGAATACATGTGCATTAAGTTAAAGTGTTTAAGGTATGCAGTGCGGTTCCTGCGTCTCTCTTTGGCCTATCACAGCAAGTAAGTGGGCTTCTACTTTGGAGCTAGAATTGATATATTGGACCGGGGAAAAAGAATTAGGGATAATAATGATCCTTGCCACTTGCACAGGCTGAAGCGGACTCTTTTGCTTGGCATGCCTTTCTACTTTTAAGCAGGAGCTAAAGCTCTACACTTCTACTGCTGACCAATATTTGCCCTTCTTTCCAGCCTTCTCATTCCCGTAATTCATCACGCATACCACAGTTACCACCACGCTTGCCACAATGCTGCACAATGTACAGACCAGCCTGTATACAAAGCTGTATTGGTCTGAACTCCTTGAAGGGCTCATGTGCTTCTTAACAATTTTTATAACCCAGAGCTGACACATAGTAGATGGTCAATGTTTGTTCAATGGACAAAGGAAAGAACAGGCTATCTACTTTAATCTTTTGGACCGAGAAATATCTTTGTAAGCGTTTAAATGATGATCTAGCCTATACTGTTATGTGAATGTTTGTGCCCCCCTCAAATCCGTATGTTGAAGCCCTAACCCCCTCGTGTGAATGTATTTGGAAATGGGGCCTCCAAGGAAGTGATTAAGGTTAAATGAGATCTAAAGGTGGGGTCCTGATCCAACCGGACTAGCGTCCTTAGGAGAGATACCAGAGAGCTTGTTCTCTGTGACCCAGAGTGTCCTCACCAGACGCCAGCTCTGCTGGTACCTTGATCTTGGCACTCAGCCTCCAGAGCTGTGAGGAAATAAATCTGGTGTTGAAGCCATTCAGTCTGTGGTTTTGTTACAGCCGCCTGAGCGGACCACCACATACGTGGAGAACAACAGATTGTTTTCTCCTTCGTATTTGGTTTGCCAAAAGGAGCCTCAGATGTAAGCGATCTTTGATCTGTCTAGTAGATGGTTCTCTTTTAGCTTTCAAGAAAAAAAAAGTTTCTCCTTTGATCACTTTTCTTTACTAACAAAATATACAGTATCATCACAGGTAGAAGAAGTCTTTTTGTTTGAAAAGCCATTTACCCCCTAAGGTTAAACCTATAATTCAAATTAAAATTATCTTTAATTATTTTTAATTTATCTTGGTACAATTAACAAAAAAATTTTTTTTAGTTGTTTCACAAGTGGCTAGTCTCTGTAAGTCCCTTGCTCTTCCCTCACACTTGTCACACCTCCTATCTGCAAGATGGTTTCCATAGTACCTCTGCACATTACCTGAGATCAAAACAAGAGGAAGGGGAGAGGCAGTAAGAGCAGCAAACTTACCCGCTTACAGGAAAAGCGAGTGATTTCCCAGAAGCTATCAGCATACTTCTATCCATCTCACTGGCCATAATCGCGTCACAGGCTCAGACCCAGTTGCAAGGGGAGCTGAGAAAAACAACTTATTTGGTTTATCACATTCCTATTTTGGAGGGGGTAAAGAAACTTTTGGGTTAGTCAATGAATGGTGGTATCTGCGATATAGGGTTACTGGAAAACTGGACTGGCAGATGAACTAATACTAAGAAATAATCCTCCAGATATGGGCTTAATCACCCCAAGGTGGGCTTTTCATTTCACATGATAGCAAAGAACTTTAGCCAGCATCTCACTAATATTTCTTTGATTACAATTAGCTAGGTTGCAAACATTTCATTAGAGCAACGTCTATACCAAGTCTTATCTGTATCTATTACAATAAAACACTGACTTTAGCTATTGAGTATACATTAGCCATATTGTTTATTATTGTTTCGTGTGGAGCTAATGACACTATTGTACTTTTCTGTAAGTAATACACAGGGAAGTGGTAAGTGGGTTCCTCTAATTTGAGGCTATGGTTAAAACCATAAACAGAGTTTATCATTATTGTGTTTTGACCAAGAACATAGCTTACCCATTTCTAAGTTTGCATTCCATATTCACTGGTGCTACTTAAGAACATCTTTTAAAGGGAAGAAGAATTTAGCTTTGTGTAATTCCTGCCATCCTTAATGGTGCGGTAATTGTGTCAGTACAGGCTATCACAAGTTCTTACCTAATGGAGTCTAAAGTATCATTCAATTCTGAGACTTCATCAGAACAAAAATACATCTGTTCTAACTGAAGACCTTAAATAGGGAGGAAAATTGGGGTTGAGAAAATAAGAAAAATAAAGTCATGTTTACTACACAAAATACAACTCCTAAGGTTCTATATGGTAGCTACAGGCAAACTACAATTTGGCTTAAGGCTGCCCCCCGACCCCCCCCAAAAACAAATCAAAAAAGAGAAAGACAGTAATAGAGTCTTTAAGATAAAAACAAATCAATTCTTTAAGAAAAGCACCGGTTTTACTGCTGCTGAAACCTAAGAGAATTTTCTCTCATGAGTCCTCATAAAGGGCACAGTGTGGTGTAGCTGCTTAAAACCACGTGTTGAGGGCGCCTGGGTGGCTCAGTTGGTTAAGCAACTGCCTTCGGCTCGGGTCATGATCCCGGAGTCCCGGGATCGAGTCCCGCATCGGGCTCCCTGCTCAGCGGGGAGTCTGCTTCTCCCTCTGACCCTCCCCCCTCTCATGTGCTCTCTCTCTCTCTCATTCTCTCTCTCTCAAAAACAACAACAACAACAAAACACGTGTTGAAAATCCAAGTTCTGATGATTGTTTTGCTAGTAGAAGCCAAGAGCACAGAAGCAAAGTGCAGTGCAGTAAAGGTAATTCTATTATCTTTTGGAAGAACTAAAATGTGGATCAAATAGGTAGCTCTTTGAAAATCTTCCAGAGGATACAATTTAGATTTCTCTCTTTACGGTTGAGAATACAGACTTGTTTTTAACATAATCCTCAAACTCCTCTATTCCTGTAAGAAAACCCATTTCAAAACTACACAAATTATTTTTAGACCTAAGACCACTGTTCCCTTCTAATATCACAAATAGTTGAAGTAGACTACATAGACTATTTTTCTGAGGAACAAGGTTTTCTAAATAAATGTGCTTTAAATGTCTACTCTCAGAATGGTAGACAAATAAAGCACATTTTAAAATGCTGGTTTATGGTTTTAGTACCTACACATGAACTTAATTTTTAAAAGGTTAAGTTAAAACATTATTCACAAAAGTGTTTCCTGTTTGAATTATGTCCAATTTTTTTTATTAATTTTGGTTACATTTGAAGTGCACTGCACCTATTCACAAAGATTTAAAATGATCAGTAATACAAAATGTAAACCTAAAAAAAAAAAATCATAAAGTCATTCCACATCTGTGAAATGCAGCAGTTAAGTACAATTAAATTTACAATAATTACAAGGGATAGAGAGAACATGAAATTGAAGGGAAAAATGATATTCAAGATCTAAACAACACAGCTACTGCTACACTGAAAAAATAATTTATTAAATGAATATAGTACTGGGAATAAAATGCATCATAAAAGTAAAAAAAGTAAATTCTAAATATAAATAGTGGTTTATTTAATTAACAAGAAGTTTTCTTCACCCATCCAAAACTTTACATACAATCTTCTGAAAGGCCAGATTTTGAAAGTGTATGGTTCACTTTAAAACAGACATGTACGTAGCACTATAATATCTGGAATTTAGCAAATATCATCTTGTCATTAGACTAAAAATTATATTAATTTAAATGATTGTTCTTTGTAAGCCTTTTTAAGCCTAGAATATTTTGAAATGAACAAAGAGAACAGTTTATTATATTCTTCTTATCTCCCAGGATAGTAAACACACTTCTAGTATACTTTGTGGAAAATACTCTGAGAACATGTGCATTTTGACAAAGGCTTTTAAAATTTTTGGTACTTTGGTAAGGAGCAGTTGCCTTTTTAGATCAAAAGTTGACAACAGCCACTTGATCTCTTAATCTACATAAATAGAATTTTAACAACTACATTTTAATATGTACATCAAGATACTGATAAACTTTTAGATAGTGAAGAAAACAAAACTGGAGATTGTTATTCTATTTTCCCAGTAAGTTTCCCTCAGCTTTTAGAAAGCACATGCAGTTCAATATACCAACCGGGACTTCAAAATGCTAGCAGGATTACAACACTTATTAACAGCAATATGCAAAGCAGTGGAAATAGAAAATAAATGAGTAACTTCATATAGTAAAAACGAAACAAGGCACTTTCAACAAGTATAAGCAAATCTGAAATAAACACCTTTTCATAAAGCTGACTCACAGACCCTAGCAGACTGGTATAAAAGTGAAATAGTGAAGGCACACATAATTCTTTTTCTTAACTCCACTTACTAAAGAAATTCACCAATTAAACTTGGCACAAAGGAGTTTAATTATCATAAAGTGCATCACTTGGCTAAATATATTAAAAGGAAAATCAGCCTTAATACATTATAGCAACATATTCACATATACAGAAATAAAAATGCAATCCCAGGAGTCAATGTAGTTAAGGAACTTTATAGTATATATGGCTTTTTATTTTGTATTTTTTTGTATAACTCCCTATTTGCTTAGAATCTTTATTTTCAAAAGAGTATACCTTGATTAGCAAAAAGAGGTAGTATTCCGAAAGAGGACAACTCACTGCTTCTACAGGTAGACATCTGAGATAAAGATATGTGGAAAATAAACAAGTACAACATATTATAATAAACTAGACACTTACTATAGCATTCTGATAATGAATCAGCTTTTAAAATCAAGGCTATTTTATCACTTTAGCTACATTATTATATGTTACTATAGCTCTCTGAAATAGTTTTCCTTTGGTATTATAAAGTTTTCTTTTTTTTTTAAATAGCAATAACATTGCAAACAGGCAATTTTTATTTACAAATGGTAAACGTGTCAATATTTAAAACTTAATTCATCTTTACCACTGATTTAAACCACTAATGAAAATATATTATGTCAGAGATACAAAGAAGTATATATCAACCAGATAGTAACATGCATTTAATGTCCATTTAACTGATAAAATTGGCATTTTAAACACAAACACAAACACGCATACCACACACAAGAATGCTCACACACATATTCATTTGGAGCAATATATTGGCAAAATACCAAAATAACTTATGCACATCATTTAAGAATTGAGTCTTGATAACAGAACTCTAACTAGATTTTTTTTTTAGTGTATTAAATACAAAGGTTGGATAAAAGACAATTTAAAGCAGCAGTGAATACATTTCTATCCCAATAACTTAAAAAAACTTTTCTTTATGTAAACTTTAATACATGTGCAATCTTTCTGTTTTCTGTAAATGCTTCAGTCTTTTTTCTTTTTAAATATTTGCCACTCTATTCTAAATTTGCTGAAACATATACATGGAAGGAACTGCTCGTCATGTATTAGTCTTCTGCATTGTACGCCACTTCTGCAACTTCTATGTCCGATACAGAATTTTCAGGTTCACTACAACTTAAGCATGGCTTATCATCAGTTCTGCAAGAAAAGAGAAAGATGTCAATGAAGAGATAAGATACATGCTATTTCACTTCGCTATTACCTTTAAAATTTTTTAATCTAATGTAGAGATTATTTAAATATTAATGGGAAAATATTTAATGGAAAAGAATATTTAAATATTTGATCAGAAATTTTATATAGATATTTTTAATGATTTTATTTATTTATTTGACACAGACAGAGAGAGACTACAAGTAGGGGGAGTGGGACAGGGAGAAGCAGGCTCCCCACTGAGAAGGGAGCCCAACACGGAGCTTGATCCCAGGACCCCAGGATCATGACCCGAGCCAAAAGCAGCCGCTTAACCGACTGAGCCACCCAGGCGCTCCAAGAAGTTTTATATTTTTAAGTTGTCATTACCAGACAACACCTTTGAATATATTTTTAACTCTTTCAGCTCTCCCAACTACCATTTATCACTAAAAATCCAGTTTATAATGACCTTCACCAACATAAATCTGTTCTCATAATTATAGCTTAGCTGCTACCACTAAAGTATTAATAATGACTTTGGATTTATAAGTAATAAATATCCTATGTGCTTTCAAATATACTATCTTTTCATCATTCCTGTTAGGTAGGCAGGCTTGTTGCTATTACACTATCCCACTTTTTGAATGGAAAAAGAATGAGGGAGATTAATTTGTCAAGCTTTACAAAATTAAGGAATTAACTGAATGGTTAATTTAGACATATCTTCAAAGTAAGTAATAATGTTTACAGCCTAGATGACAAAGACTCATTTTTAAGGAGAGCCTACAATATCTAGTCTTTCTTTATTTGCTCAGCAGATTCACGATAGAATAACACTGAGTTCACACAAAAAAATACTCTCTAGAGTATTATTGACTATTTCCCTCTAATTATTCAGATGATTAGGCTATAATAAACCAAATATTATTTACCTAGATTCTTCATGCAAAACATCTTGATCAACCTCAAGTGTGGAGGACTCCACCTTTGGGATGTGTCCACCTTCTGTTTCTGACATGTGCAGTGATTCTTCAGGTTCTGAAGACAATGTTCTAAAAGCAAATTAGAGCAACAAGTTATTTTCTACAAATAAAGTATGTATTGGTTTATTTTTGTGAATACATGTAACTTTAGTAGTCTTTAGCTATTCTTAATATGGCTAATAGATTGCTGACTCTGGGAGTCAACAGAGAAATTAGTACTTATGATTAATGTAAAATGGTTTTAATATCAATTCAATATATGCTGACAAGAACGTAAACTACAACTTTCATATGTGAAAAGTTGGCAGAAATGCCTAGAAACAAAGATACCATTTAAACGGGTTAAAATGAATAATGTTTATCTTGAACAGCTAGAGGCTTATATTTCTGATGTTTCCTATCCTTCAAATGTTCAACCTTCTAAATAAATGATCAAAACGCAACTTTCCCAATCTACAAAAAAGGTACACCAAGAGTCTAAGACTTTTGGAATTGGAAATTTCCTAAATCGTATTAAAATGCAAAGGGCATTTAGCCCAGAGTATTAAAAGTTTAATGAGTAAGTCTAAAAATGCAAGTATCACAATACACCTGATTCTGCTCTCTAGAGTTTCTATATGAAGTTGCTTTTCATTCAGCAGTTTCTTCAGTGATTCCACCTCTTTCTGTTTTTCAAGTAGTTCTTTTTGAAAACGGTAGTTTGTCTCTTCTAAGGTTTCACAGAAAGCCTTAAAAAAAAACAAAAAATGCAAAAAAAATTAATTACTTATGCAGTATCGCCCTCAAGAGCATTTATTTGAAGAGTTAAAGAACATAATCAAAATAATATGTATGCAGCCCCAACAATTTGTTCTCTTCCCTCATCTTTTTTGGTCTCTGCTATCTTGATACTCAGTCCCCACACCTACCAAGGGGACTTCTAACTACAAGTCCCCTTTCTTGAGAATTGTTAATCAGTAAACCACGGTGCTTGAAATGAGTATGTGATAACGCTCTAGTGTAGAATTGGGGGGAAAATGACCAAGTTTTAAGTTTTTATTCTTCATTTATTTTTGCCCAGTCCTAGATGAATATACTTTTTTGAAAAACTGTGGCTATTCATTTGTATTAGCTTAGCAGTGATACTATTGTAACCACCTCCTCCATAGCACCTAAACAATGTTGGGGTTTTTTTCCACATTGCTTTCCTCTTGCTTCTGCTATTCCCATAGTCATTCAAAATTGACATTCTATCCTTCATGCCCAGAATACTAAATACTGCTGACATAAAGATTAAAACAAACAAAATCGTATTACCATAAAAAATGGTGTCATGAAAAAATGTGGTTCACTTATTTTGATGAGGCTTTCAGTGTTACTGATCAATTCTTTTAATTATTCCTAGTCATCTATCACTCCCTGTCCTGTCATTTCTGTGACTATTTTAAACCTTCACCCCTGGCAAGTTCCCTACAATGTGTTACTATTGCTAATTCCAAAACCAGCAGATGATCTTGATTCCTATACCAGAAAAAAAAAAAAAATCACTGACTCCCTGAATCTCATCTACCTTCACATCCTGTTCTTTTTCTCAAGAACATGTGACTCTTCAAGTTATCTTATCTACTCTTTCTCCTCTGGAAGCGTGCTCAATCACATACACTTTCTCTTAAATTTTCAACCTTTCCCCCTCCTCTGGACCCTAAATTTACTGAATAAACATGACTGAAGTTGGTTAAGTAAATCCTAAAAATTTCTCCATAAAAAAAAAATAAAACATCTTCACCTCCCTCTTGATCTTGAGTCTCTCTAGCTAACTCATCTCCTTCCTTTCAAAATAAAAAAAATTATCACAAAAGGTTTTTATCACCCAAATTTAGCCTCCCATTTACTTCTAAAATCATTAAATTAGGAGTTTTGCTCTCTTTTTCTCTACTAACTATGCCCAGGCAAAGGCTAACAATGACCTTCTAGTTGTCAAATCCAAAGTATTGTTTTTCTTGACTTCACTGTCACTATTGACTTAATTTAAAAAAAAAAAAAATAATGGAATCCTTTCTCATTGGCCTCCATAAAACTTCCTGGTTCACTTCTTAACTTTGAGTTACTTTTTAGATGTCTATTTGTTCTTTGCATGTGGGCATTCATCAAAGTTTTGCCCTTGGTTATATATTCTCTTGCTCTATATGTCATCCCTGGGCAATTGCACTTACTGTTAACACTTCAGCTCTCACCTCTACTATATGCGATCATCTTCCAATGTGTTTGTTGTTGTTGTTGTTAATCTCCAGCCCTCAACCTTTCCTGAGTACATAGACATCATTCGTATATCTACTGTTCCTCTTCAATTAGATGTACCAATGGCAAGTCAAATAGTGTCCGCGAGGGAATTTCTATTCTACTACCTCATCATCAAAGCCACCACCAAGCAGGCATCTTAGATCAGCCCATTTCCCTAATTTCTATTGCCCAAGGATAACCAAGACTTTCCACCTTTCCCTTCCCCTCATCCCCTACTGCCTCATCAATACCTCTTGTGTTTTTGTCATTTGTTCTCATTTCTACAGTCTTCAGTTCTTAACCAAACTACACCACCCGTAAACTAACTGGCTTACCTATGTTTACTTTGGCAATCTAAGTTGGCTTTCTTACAAATAGATCTGATCATGTTACCTATGATTTAATACTGCCTAAATAATAAGGCCAAATATCTTACCTTGGCAAATGAAGTACCTTATGATGTGGCAGATGCCTTTTACCCCAACTTCATAGCTTGCTGTATTTACCTTTCCTTTCCTCTGGTCCTCTGCATAACCCCATGTTCCACCCAACTGAATTACTTTCAGTTTCTCAAATATTTGTCTTTATATAGATGGAAGTATATAATACATATCATTCTGCAGCTTGCTTTTTATCTAATGACCTAAGATGAACCTTACAAACATTTCCAAATTTAAAAATCTGGGTATATTCACATTATGAAAAAACTGAACAGTGTTCAACTATCATGCAAATAGAACCTAGGAACACAGAGAAAAACAAAATAAATGAACCACACATAACTTCCATTGGTAACAGTACAGATGACCAAACTAAGGCCTCTGGCTATAAGATACCTAGCTAAAAAACCCAACTTTTAAAACAGCTATGTGGGCAAGAAATAGAGGTAAGTCTCAGGGAACAAAAACAAAGAGAAATGAAAACAAGTGCCACCAGCATGTGTACTGACATAGCTTTGGGTAGTGGGCGAAGGAGGAGTGACGAGAGTTTTCTTTTTGGTAACTTTGAACTTTAAACACCAAGAGGGAACAAGAGATGAGTCAGGCACATTTTAAAGGCTAGTGACAAGAAAAATGAGATACTCAGGAATAAAGTAAGGACTCTAAAGAGCTAAGCCATTAATAAAAGTCACTCATCAACACAGGAATACATCAAGGAAGAATGTTTGTCTCATCTTGGCCTCTACATGGGAGAGGTAAAGTCTTCCCTGAAGAATCTATAACCATGGGCTAATGCCTCATGTGGATTTTGGACTGAGTTCATACTATCACAATTAGTCAGAAATACCCAAGCTTAGAAAATAGTATAAAAAATGGTCCAGGATCAATGATACTAAAGGTATCTCTGCAGAAGCAAACAAACTTCTATGGAAGGATGTACCCTCAACTTTGGCTGTTCAGTGTTCCTGGAGACAAAGTTATAATCAAAGTAAATTTATAATTCAAAATTACAAAACACATTAGGATATCATCCACTGAAAAGAAGGATTAGATTTCCATAAACTTCAAATAGCATATTACTAGAAAAAGATTATAAAATATGAACATGTATAATGACGTGCATATTTTTAAAGCCACTATTAAAAAATATCAAGTATATCTGAGATAAAACAAGAGAATGTCAAGACATGAAAAGTATAGTCAATATTATTAAGATTCCCCCCCCCCCTTTTTTTTTTAAAGATTTTACTTACTTATCTGACAGAGAAAGGGAGAGAGCACAAGCAGGGGGAATGTCAGGGAGATGGAGAGGGAGAAGCAGGCTCCCAGCTAAGCAGGGAGACCGATGCAGGGCTCGGTCCCAGGACCCTGAGATCATGACCTGAGCTGAAGGCAGATGCTTAACCAACTGAGCCACCCAGGTGTCCCAATATTATTAAGATCTTAATGGAAGTACCAAATAGTAGAATAATCTTATCTAAAGACAACAGAGTGAACTGGAAGCTAGGACTAAGAAAATTACATAATTTATTCATTGAAGAATAAAACATAGGGAGATGGAGACAGATAACATGAAAGAAAGGTTAAGACAGATGGAAAAGGAAAATAACTTAACACATAATATTTATAAATTGAGTTCCTAAAATAGAGAACGGAGAGAATGAGGAGAAGTAATACTCAATGAGAAAACAGCAGAAAATTTTCAGAACTGATTAAATGCTAGCATTTTCAGATTTGGGAAGAATAATGCATCCCAACGAAGACAAAAATAAACACCACCCACACACAAAATAGTAAAACTGCACATGGTAAAATCAAAGAGAAGGTCTCTAAAATACTAGGAAGCAAAAACAGTTTACTAGAAGGGGACAACACTGAACTGAGAATAGATATTTCACAGCAAGGGTCTACAGCAAAGGCAGCGGGAAAGACCTCAAAGCACTGAGAAGAAGGACTATCCAGGTGGAATTCTAGACCCAGTTAAATCATACTTCAAGAATGAGAGCAAGATTAAAAAATTTCAGACATTAAAGACCTAAACATTACCAACACACATTCACTGAAACAACTATTAAACGATGTACTTTAAGAGCAGTTAACTGAGCCCCAATGGGAAGAGTGAGATGAAAAACTAGGAATGGTGGACGAAAGGAAGTGACAAGTGTGCAGGTAATTAAAGAAAGCAATGGCTCACTTTGGGGAGGCTGTAAACAACTTGGTTCTAAATTATTTGATGAGAACAATATATGGCCATTAAATAAAAGACCATGAATACAGAGCTTAGAAGCCAAGAGTAGAGGGAAAAAGGGAAGAAAGGAAACTCATTAAGTATATAAAAGGAAGGAAAGGAGAAAAAGCAAGGTAAATAAAAGATACAAAATAAAATGGCAGAAATAAACACACACATATTGGTAATTACTGGACACATCACAATAAACTCACCAGTTAAAAAACAGATTTTTCTGTTTGTATCAAAAACCAAAAATCTCCTTCTATGATGCTGACAAGAAACACACTTTCTTTTTTTTTTTAAGATTATTTATTTATTTGAGAGAGAGAGAGAGAGAGAGAGAGGGAGAGCACAGAGGGAGAAGCAGACTCCCCGCTGAGCAGGGAGCCCACCCTGGGGCTCGATCCCAGCACCCTGAGATCATGACCTGAGCCAAAGGCAGACTCAACCGACTGAGCCACCCAGGCTCCCCAAGAAACACATTTTATTATTATTTTAAACGATTTTATTTATTCATTTGAGACACAGAGATACAGAGAAAGAAAGAGCATGAGCAGGGGGTAGAAGCAAAGGGAGAGGGAGAAGTAGACTCCCCAGTGAGCTGGGAGCTCGATGCTGGGCTTGACGTGGGACTTGATCCCAGAACCTAGAGATCATGACCCGAGCTGAAGGCAGATGCCCAACCATCTGAGCCACCCAGGCGCCCCAAGAAACACACTTTAAATATAAAGATAGAAAAATATTTCTCAGGCAACAGGCAAATCTGCTTTCTCCCCCACAAAAGGCATAGTTTTATTAATCTCAGAGCAATGCATTTCAAGTGGAAAACTTGAGGCACAAAAAGAGTCACTACCTAATAATAAAAGGAATGATTCCCTAAGGATATTTCAACTACAGAATTCCCAAAAAAAAAAAAAAAAAAAAAGAATTAACAACCAACCATTATGAGTGAATTCAATATACTACTTTTGGTAATTAAAGATATGTTAAGAGATTTTTAAAAATCATGAGAAAACAGCCTTATATCAATGTATTTTAAAATCTGTACAAATTGGCCAATTTTCTAAAAAAAAAAATACATAAAAATTGAGCACTAAAGAAACAATCTGAATAAACTCTATTCATTAAAGAAACTTAATCAGTTGTTAAAAATCTACCCATAAAACTACTGAACAAACTAAAGAAAATATCAGACTCAGGTTGTTTTACAGGTGAGTTCTAATGAATACTCAAGGAACGAACAATACTGATCTTATTCAAATGGTTCTGGAGAAAAGAAAAAGAGACTATTTCTCAACTTGTAAGACTGGTATAATCCTGATGCCAGATCCAATGACAATAACAGAGAGGAAAATTATATTGCAAAAATTCTAAATAAAATCATTACAATCCAAATCCAGCCATTAAAAAAAAATGCTGAATTAATGAGTTAATCCCAGAGGTGAATGTTTTATCATTTGAGAATCTATCAGTGTAATTTACCACATATCATATTAAAAAAACCCCATATGATCATCTTTATAGACAGAAGCAAAAGTATTAATAACATACACATACCACAACCTTTAGCAAAGTAGGAATAGAACTTCCTTAACCTAAAAAAAAGATATAAACAAACACAACCCACAACTTCCAGCTGCTTGTAGGAAACACCATATCCAATGGTGAAAAACAGAATCATTTCCTTTAAAGTCAGAACAGAGGAAAAGGATGTTTGCCATAACTGCTTTTATTTAACTCTAAAGATCCCAGGTAGCACAAAAAAATATGAAAATGGAATGAAAAGTATTAACGATTAAAAAGGAAAAACCACAATTGTTAGTATTTCAAGGGATATGATTATATATATAGAAAACCTAAAAGGATCTACAAACTAATGAGAGTTTTCACTGAAGATGTAACATATAAACTATATATAAAACAATAATGTAACGATAATAAATTAAAATATAATAGGGGCGCCTGGGTGGCTCAGTCATTGAGTGTCTGCCTTTGGCTCAGGTCATGATCTCAGAGTCCTGGGATTGAGCCCTGTATCGGGCTCCCTGATCAGCGGGGAGCCTGTTTCTCTCTCTGCCTGCCACTCCCCCTATTTGTTCTCTCTCTCTCTCGGTCAAATAAATAATAAAATCTTAAAAGAAAAAGATATAATAAAAATACCAATTATGATTAAAAAACCCTAAAATAATAAATCCTACAGGTTTCCCTAAAAGTTTTAGGAAAAAATTTAACCTTTATTGAAGACTTTTTAAAAAGACCTAAATAAAGCAAAGACCTTATTGATAGTAAGATTCAATTCTATAATGACTCTCCTCTTCAAAATTAATCAATAAATATTCCAAACAAAATGCCACCAGGATCTTTCATGAAACTCACAAGTTGATTCTAAAATTCACATGGAAAAACAGTCAATTTTGAAGACGAACAAGGAAGGGAAACCTTGTCTTGCCAGATTCAAAAATTATAAAGCTACAGTAATTAATTAACACAGTATGGACTCAATAAAGAAATAGAATAATTATAATAATAAAAGCAAACAGAAATTCTGAAATTGAAAAGCACAATAGCTGAAGTGAAAAATTAACATGAGGGGCTGAACAGCAGATCTGAAATGACAGAAAAATGAGTCAGTGAACTTGAACATAGATCAATAGAAATTATTCAGTCTGAAGAACAGAGGAAAAATGATTGAAAAGAAAATGAACAGCACTTCAGAAACACGTAGTACAATGTGAAGTATACAAACATATGGGTAATGGGAATCCCAGAAGGAGAAGGGCAAGAGAAAAGGACTGAAAAATTATTTGAAGAAATAATGGCCAACAACTTCCTAAGTCTGATGTAGAGCATTAATCTGTGAAATCCAAGAAGCTCAATGAAGCCAAATTTTGATAAACACCTTGATATATCATAATCAAACTGCTGAAAGTCAAAGAAAAAAATCTTGAAAGTAGCAAGGGCAGAATGGCTCATCATGTCCATGGAAGCAATATAATTAAGGGCTGACTTTTCATCAGAAACAATAGAAGCCAGAAGACAGAGGAATGACACAAAGTAGTGAAAGAAAAAAAACTATCAATAACTATCCTTCATAAATGAACATTCCCAGTAAACAAATACTGAGAATTTGTTGCCATCAGACCTGCCTTACAAAAAATACTAATGGAAGGAAGGCCTTGAAGCTGAAAGAATGTGATACCAGATGATAATATCAATCCACAGCAAGGAATGAAGAGGGCTGGAAATAGTAAATATATGGATAAATATAAAAGAGTTTATAATGTATTTTTCTCATTTCTTCTCTTAATTTCTTTATAAGAAAAAAGACTGTAAAGAAATAATTATTATACTGTATTACTGGGTTTATGACATAGATTTAAAATATGTAATAAATAATAGGGGTGTCTGGCTGGCTCAGTCAGTGGAGCATGTGACTCTTCATCTCAGGACCATGCTAGGCCTAGAGCTTACTTAAAAAAAAATATGTAATTATAGCAACACCAAGGATGGGGGACGAAAAAGATGTACTGGAGCTAAGTTTATAATTCCCTGGAATTAAGCATTACTCTGAAGTAGACTGTTAAGATGCATAATGTAATACCTAGAGCAACCATTAAAAACTAAAAAAGTAAAAATTTCTATAGAGGAATCAAACTGGCATACAAAAAATATTTATTTCACACAATAGTAGTCAGTAAAGGAGTAAGAGGACCAAAACAGATGAGACAGGTAGAAATAAATTGCAAAATGGCAGATGTAAAGATGTCAGACTGAACAAAAGACCAAGACCCAACTATATGCTATATCCAAGAGACAGACCTTAGATTGAAAAACACAAATTGAAAGCAAAAAAAAAAAAAAAAGTGGGGGGGGGAAGATACACTATGTAAAGAGTAACTATAAGAAAGCTATAATAAACAAGACTGTGTGGTATTGGCATAAGGATAGGTAACTAGATCACTGAAAGAGAATTAAGAGTCCAGAAACAAACCCATTCCTTCGTTTATTTGATTTTTGATAAAGGTGCCAACACAATAAAGGGTATTGGCACAATTAGGTATCTATGGGAACTTAAGACACTTACCTCATACCTTATAAATATCTGTCAGGTCAGGATAGATTACAGACTTAATATAAGAGCTGAAACTATAAAACTTCTAGAAAAAAAATGAAGCAGAAAACTTTTGTGACCCTGTGTTAGGTAAAGAGTTTTTTGTTTTTTTTTTTAAAGTAGGTTCCACGGCCAACATGGAACTTGAACTCATGAGCCCGAGATCAAGAGTTGGATGCTCTACCGACTGAGATAGCCAGACGCCCCTGGGTAAAGAGTTCTTAATGATACAACACCATAAGCCATAAAAAAAGTGATAAAATGAACTTCATTAAAATTAAAAACATTAGTACTTTAAAAGACATCATTAAGAAGATGAAAAGACACATACAGATCAGGAGAAAATATTTGCAAATCAGATATCTTTGATAAAGGGCTTCTATTCAAAATAAAGAAGTTTTACAACTCAATAAAACAGCCAAACAAAAAAAAGGGGGGGGGCAAAAGACTTAAACAGACAATTCATCAAACATATAATTGGCTAAAAGGCACATGAAAAAGTGAACAACAAATTTAAAAAAGGTGACCAACATAAAAAATTAGGGAAATGCAAATTAAAACTATAGTACAATACCACTACACACCCATAAGAATGACTACACTCCAAAGACAGATAAATCACACTTATGAGGACATGGATAAACTGGAACTCTCAAATACTAGTGGTGGGAATGTAAAACGGTAGAGCTACTTCAAAAACAGTTTGTAAGTTTCTTTAAAAAGTTAAACATAATTTGCCATATAAGCAAATGTTCCATTTCTAGGGATCAGTCCAAGAGAAATGAAGACAAATGTCAACACAAAGCCTCTATGAGATTGTTCACAGCAGCATTATTCAAAATAGCACAAAAGTGGAGACTATTCAAATGTCCAACTGGTGACTAGATAAACAAAATGTGGTATATGCATACAATGAAAAACCATGCAGCAACAAAAAATATTGCTATATATTCTATATATTCATAGAAGCTATATCATGGTTGACCCTCAAAAACATGATGCTACGTGAAAGAATGTAGATGTAAAGATTATATACTGTATATGTTATGCATACTGCATTTGTAAAATATTATGTATATTGAATACTGACCACACACACACACACACGACTCTATTTACATAAAATGTACAGAAAAGGCAAATTTGTAGAAACTGAAAGCAGATCAGTAGTTGTCTGGAGCTGGGAGTGTTGGACTGATTGTGAAATGGCTTGTAGGAATTTTTTTCAAGGGAATTTCTAAAACTGAATTATGGTGATGGTGGCATAGTTCTATAAATTTACTAAAAATTATTAAATTATACATTTACAATGGAATAGCAAATAGGTAACTTTATGGATGAAATTTTTACTTCAATAAAGCTATTTCCAAAAAGCTATGGCATTCACTCTAATAGAAAGAACAGATTCAGTTTAACTGAAAACATTACAAATCTACCAATTAAATCTGTTCCATTTAAATGCCATTGAACATTAGGGGAAAAAAACTTGCATAAAATCCTACCTAATCTATTATTACCAAATCTGTTTTGTGAATCTAGCCAATTGCTTCGAGAAATAGGCCACTCTAACACATCAATTAGCGTAATTTGAGGAGCATCAAGCTTGAGTTGAATTGATAACAAGACAATAACTTCTACTTCTGAAGGTACATTTTAATTGATTTTAATTGTAGGTTCTTTACTTTGATATTTAGATGGAAGAAAACTCAGCATACAAACAGCATTTTTAAATGTAGTAAAATAAATTTCTGTATGATTTTTTTCAAATAGTAAAAATAAGGAGGAAAAGAAATGCAAGATTTAATTTTAGAGCTTCATTGATGGCATGACATGTATGAACTTTCATTTTTTTCACTGAACTAGGTTCATGTATTTCAATGAAAGACACCTTTGACTGAAACATTGAAAGCTTTCTGTGTAAAACTATGATGATATGAAATTATAATATTTTGCTGTTTGCTATCCCATTCAAGAAACAATGTAGTTATTGTACTGTGTTATTTGTTCCCCTTTCCATGTGATATATAATACAGCACTTACCCTGCTTTCTTCTAGGCTATCAAATGGGCCTGGTGGATCATCCAGACAAAGAAATTCTCTCACTGCAAGGCTTTTCAAAGGGAAAAAAAAAAAAAAAAAAAAAGCTGGGGTACAAATAAGTTTACAAAAGACAGAAAGCGAAAGTTACTTTGAAGATATACAGTGTTTTAAGCAAATTGGTTTTGGGGATATACCAAAAGCAGAAAGTTGGTTTATGTGTTTTCACACAACCAACCAAATACAAATATAAAATCTATGGAAGATACAAAGATTTTAAGCTATTTTCTAAGATCTTATGAACATAGAGACTGTAAATTCATACTGCAGGAGATAAAATGTAAGTCAGAATAATGGTATAGGAAACCAACCTAAATGATGAATAGAAACAGTATTACTTCCAAAATTATTAATTTAAACTAATCTAAAAATGTCATTATCTTGTTATGAAGAAATACCATTTCTAATTTATACTTTGTTTCATTGTCAGGAGATGCTTCTAAAGTAACTGAAAAGTATTTACTCTGAAACAAGTTAAAGATTTTTCTTGCAATCATGTTTATTACAGTAATTTACATAAATATTTTCCCTGAAGAGTTTAAGAGAAAAAAATACTGAACAACTCATTTCTGAATTACCATAAATTTCAAAATAATGAAATACAGTTGACCCTTCAACCACACAGGGGTTAGGGGTGCTGACCCCCTGTGTAGCTGAAAATCTGCATATAACTTTTGACTCTTCAAAAGTTAACTACTAATAGCCTACTGTTGACTGGAAGCCTTCTCCGTAACATAAATGGTCAATTAACCCATATATTGTATATTATATACTGCATTTTTACAATAAAGTAAGCTAGAGAAAGGAAAATGTTATTTAGAAAATCATAAGGAAAATACATTTATAGTATTATGCTGTAAAAAATCTGTGTATGAGAGGATCTATGCAGTTCAAACCTGTGTTGTTCAAGGGAGCAACTGTAATATGGTATTGTTATCTTTGGCAATTATCAGAAATAGGTTAAAACAGTAGAAAACTTAACTTCCTTGTTACAAAAATACTCACTTTTCTAAAAGCAATTTTGGACTGAGAGGCAACTCTGTGTACATGTCAGAACAAACATAGAGACTTAAAATTTTTAGGTATAAAAGGATAAAAATATGATATTTTGATATACTGTATAGATGTCAACCTATGCTGAAAAGGGGATGTACATTGGAGTTCATACTGAGTCAGATGGGTTGATGATGACAGGGGATGGTCCTGAAGAGACAAATGGATGGAATATACATTGAAGCCTTTCAAAAGTAAAAATAATGTGAATTAGTATAGAGAGTGGTGTTAAGAAATTAATCCAGAAGATCGCAAAGACAGAACAAAGAGGAGTAAATCTGTGGACGATAAAATCTTGACAATACAGGTAATAAAGGACACAGATTCAGGGAAACTGAGAAAAAACTTGAGTATTCATAATCATGAAATAATAGAGATGGAAAGGATCTTAAATGTGATCTAGCTGCTTTTTAAAAAATGTGATCCATAGTATGCTTTTTATCCTTTTCATGTGTTCAGCCAAGAGTATACCTAAACAACTCCAGGAATAGGGAACGTTCCACCTCTTAGAATAAACCATCTTATGTTTGAAAAATACTAAAAATTAGAGAACTATTTCTTCTAGTGAGCTGAAATTTTTCTCCCTGCAGCTTCTACTCATGAATCTTAGTTCTGCTTTTGAGCCATTCAGGGCAAATCTAAGTCCTTTTTCACATGATAACCCTAAAAGCACGTTGAGAATGTTACAGTTCCTCTAACCTTATATTCCCCCAAAGCAATACTAATACACTAATATTTTCTTTTTTTTTTAAATTCTGTAACAAAATTTATTGTGTACTTACAGCCTGTATGGTCTCTGCACTCATGGAACCAACATTTTTCCCCCAGTTTTACTGAGGTGTAACTGACAATTAAAAATTGTATATATTTAAGGTGTGCAACTTGATTTAAGTATACATTGTAAAATGTGAACTACAATCAAGTTAATTAACATATCTATCACCCCACAAAGTTATCATTTCTAATTTAAAGTACATTTCACACACAGGGCTTTCATATATCCTATTTCATTTAATTTTCACAATAATCATGTGAGGTGAAGACATTATATTTCCATTTTACAAATGATACCAAAGTTCAGAGAGTTAAAATGATTCATACAAGTCCAAGTGGTAGAGCAAGACCTTAAATCTGTCTTCTGAGCAAAAATATGTGCCTTTTCACCTTTAAATTCTTTTCTGTTACATTATGGTTCATTTGGATCCTTTCCCCTTGCTGGTCACTTCCCTCAGAAAACATTCAACTTGTCTGTATCCTTTAACCAAGGCCTCTAGAATACTGCAATTGGTCTAAGAGCACAGAGAAGAACAGGACCACCACACATTCTTTTGGTTTAGCTATTATACTTCTATCCTCCCATTATTAGAAAACCAACTATTAGGCAAAAATTGAATCACAGGAAATAAACTGATCTTGGGACTGAGAGGTCAAAAGTCTAGATGAAACCCTGAGAACAGCCTTTAAGATTGATAAGGAAAGTACATAGAAGTTTACAGAAGGGTCTTTTTTTCTTTTTAATACTTTCAGTGTATGATAACTCAATGTGAGACATTGTTTTCTTATAGCTTTATACCCAGACTTCCTCATTCTTTAGGAACATTTTTATGTTTGCAAATTACTCTAATTATTGAAATGCTGCTGCTACGAGAGACAAAGTAGTTAAGGGAATATATGTATCTCTTTTTATACCTTTGACTTATAGTAGAAATTTAGCCCAAGATCCACAGTGATGTTGACAATGTACCCAGCTGTATATCTTTTTTGGAGTGGCTTTTCTATTTCATTCTCTTTCCCTAAACATCTTTATGATCTATATTACCTCCCCATGACTTATTTATTTTACAACTGAAAGTCTGTAGCTCTTAATCCCCTTCACCTAATATATAGCATAGGGAATATAGTCAGTAACATTGCAATAACTTTGTAGTGACAATGGTAACTAGACTTTCTGTGGGAATCATTTTATAATGTATAAAAATACTGAATCACTATGATGTACACTTGAAACTAATGGGATATTGTATATCAATTAATACTTCAGTAAAAAGAGAAAAATCTTTATGATCTATATAGCTCACTAGAGTGCTACTCAAACAAAATCCAATGGATTCCCTAAGTTTTTTTCCAATATAGCTCAAGGTCATATTCCATGCCCCACCTTCTTTAATCTGTAACATAAGAACGAAATTTAAAACTGGCTATACAACTCTGATTTATAAAATACTTTCTCAGGGTTTTACTACATTTCCTCGGTTTCAACAGGACTCAGGTGGCAGAGGAAGAGAGTCATTATGCTCAAACTATTCCCATAGGAGAGGGACACACAAGAATCTCTGGGAGATGGTAATGTTTGAGAAAACAATTTCTTTCACAGACATTCTTTTTTTTTTTTTTAAAGATTTTATTTATTTATTTATTTGAGAGAGAGAGAGAGAGAGAAACAGCATGAGAGGGGACAGGGTCAGAGGGAGAAGCAGGCTCCCCGCCGAGCCAGGAGCCCGATGCGGGACTCGATCCCAGGACTCCGGGATCATGACCTGAGCCGAAGGCAGTCGCTTAACCAACTGAGCCACCCAGGCACCCTTTCACAGACATTCTGATACCTTTTCCCCCCTAGAAAAGGAAACCTTTACCCCTGCGTGAGAATCACTGACTAGAGAACCTTATTTAGATTTGATAAATATTTGACTGCTTATGTGTGCCATGGTTCTGCTCACTGATTTCCTACATATTATCAATGTATAATTTATAAACAAATTAACTGAATTAAAATAAAATATAAATACCAGAGTCTATTATTATTAAATGGTCTATAAATTAAATAGAAGTTAATTTTTTTCCAGAGAATTGAAGTTTTTATTTATTTTATTTTATTATGTTCAGTTAGCTACTGTATAGTACCTCAGTTTTTGATACAGTGTTCAATGATCCTTAGTTACGTATGACACCCAGTGCACATCACAACCTGTGCCCTCCTTAATACCCATCACCCTGTTACCCCCTAGAAGTCAATTTTTAAGAAGAAAGTCTTTTTTTCCTCCTTGTTCACTGAAAGGTTCAATATAGCCCCCAATCTCTCCTCCATATTCAGTCGTTAATACTTTTGCTTCCATTTGGCTATGATAATAAAGGTAAGAAAAACAGGATAAAAGAGAAACCTATCTAAGAGAAAAATCCAACAATCTGGAAATAAAAGGTAAAGAAAGACTTTGTATCTATTCCCTTTATTACCCAGAGTAGCTTTTTAGTGTGTTTGGGAAAACTATTTTAAAATTGAGATCAGTTGTTGACTTAGCTTGCCTGAAGATAAGGAAACCACAGATGGTATCCCTCAGCATTTTTTTATCCGAGCAAATTTGCCCTATAACGTTATTTCTTCCTCTGATTCTCTAAAAAAGTTTTCTTTCAGTTTTACTATATTTTTGAACTTCTTAAAAAACTATTTCATCTGGGGAACTTTCATCTTCTATTTACTATTATATTCTACTTTTTTTCTTTCATAGATATGTATCTGTTTACATTTCAATTTTTTTTAAAAAACCAGTAATAGTTAAATGTACTCTTCATCTTGAAATGTATATTTTAAAAGAAAAAAACCCTTAAAACTAATGCCTATAATTCATTAAAAGGCCAATCAAGAACTAAGTAAAAAGTGCACTAAAAATACTAGATGCCAATTCTATCAAAATCAGATTAAGCACAAAAAGGCTACTGCATGAAAATATTCCTCAAGGATTTCAGACAGAAATGTTGTATCGGTTAGTATTTCTCTTCAGTATTCTCTAACAGTTAAAAGAAAATAACAAAAAATTGACATTAAACACAACCTGGAGAATAAGGACTCAGGGATCAAGGCTGGTGACAGTGAGGGTCACAATGGAGATGGACTGGTTGGGTGTGAGGCTGAAGGGTTCATGTTTAGAATCCTGTGGTGGAATATGGAAGCAGTGGGGAACCAGT